TTTCAGAAATGGAATAGCTCTTCTAGATTTTTAGTTATTAAAGAAACACTCTAACATTGCCTAGATTCGTCGACCGTTACGAAAATCAGATTTTCTTTCAAACCGCTCACTCTTTTTCAATGAAACCAATTTTCCTTGAAAACTAACTCTTTAAGAAAGTTTTTGACATAAAACGAGATCCAGGAGATTTTCCTACATTTTTCTAAAATTTTCAAAAGTTGGCTATAAAAACTGGTTTTTCATTCATAATACTCAAAATAAGAAGATTGGTGAGAAAAGAGGCCAACTAAGAGAAAATTTTCACTTCTTTTGTGATTAAAACATACTAAATAATGTATCAATAACTCAGATTTTTAGAGTGATGGTGTGCCTTTGGAAATAATGTAAGATATGGAAAGAAAAAAAGTAGTTTTCCGTCTATTAAGAGGAAATATGAGTAGAAGAAAGATCAAAGCTCAACTTAACAACCTTGAACATATGAATATCAAATTTTCATAACTTAAATGATACTAAGGACTTCTAGAATTGTGTATTTGTTTTAGAAAAATAAAAGAGAAGAGTGTGGCTTACTTGAGACTTGGTTGAATTGCTAACAAAACCTTCTCTTTCTCTCATTTCCTTCACTAAGCTCACTCTCTTGCCCTCTCTTTCCTCTTAGCTGTGTGATGTTGTTTGAATATGTGTTTTTGTGTGCAAAATGCCAAATGAGAGGTTTTATTTATAATAAAATTGGTGCAAAATGTCCAATTTGAGTGTGTATTTGAGTGGCTAAGAGGAAAGAGAGGGCAAGAGAGTGAGCTTAGTGATGGAAATGCCAAATGAGAGGTTTTATTTATAATAAAATTGGTGCAAAATATCCAATTTGCCCATTGGTTGAAAATGGATTGGATATTTTGGATTTAGTTTGAACTTGATGGAATATTGGATGATTAGAGGCCTTAATTATGCAATTAATCATGATCTAGTTAGGCTTTAGTTAGGATGGCACTTAAGGTGGAAAAAAAGTTCCATGTTTTGAGGTGTACTAGAACACTTTTTCCATGAATTCATGGATTTTGTTTGAAAAAGATGTATGCATTTCCTTTCTCTAGGGTGGCTGGCCAAAGATGATGATTTGGGAAGATTTATTTGTTTATTTTTGTACAATTTGATAGAAATGTCAAAATATATAATAGTACTAAAAATGTGAGGGCTTTGGCTTTAATTTATAAATTCAAACTTTTATTTAAGTGTAGAATTAAATTAAATTAGGGTTGGAGAATCTGATTCGGTTTAGATTTCTTGTTTTGAATAAAAAGGCTATCAATCTTAAGTGGTAAATCCAAATTTAGGGAGTCATTTAATCAGTAGTAGGGTATTATAAATGGTTTCTAAGTTACCAAAATCAATTAGGGTTTGCGAGTTTTCACTTCTAGGCTTAAAGTTGAAATTATTTAGGAAATCAAGGGTCTTCATTACAATATTCCAAAAGTAAAGGATTTTTAAGAAAATAAAATTTTTAGGGCCTCACACTTACCATCTATCTAACCTTCATCTTTCTTCAATTTTTTTTTGAAATGTTGTTTGTTTTTTGAGTATGTTGAAAAAGGGATTTCTTGGACTCTCTCCGACGACTAACAGAAAGCTCTCAAAAGATGAGAAGGCAAAAAGCCTTGCATGGTGGACATAGGCAAGCGAGGTGTAGGAAATTGGAAGATTTTTCTGTGGGATATCATCACCCCATGTGAGGGGTGATCCTCCATGTGTTGCAAGGTTGGCAATGTTAGGAAGCCAACACACATAAGCTGGCCATGTGAAGCCAGCACACAAGATAGCTGGCCATATGCAAGGCCAGCCTCTCCATCTCCATTCTGATTGAGTATAAATGGAGGCTAAGGGGAGGGTTTGAGAGAGCAGAGCAAGCCACAGAGAGTGAGATATGTGAGGCGGAGAGACCGTCTCACTCGGTGTGAGCGAGGGAGACGGGTGAGTGGGTGAGTGAGGAGAGTGTGAGCTCCTCCTCTATTGTAATCTTTCTGTAATATCTCCATTGTTATAGTGATAACCGGCTACTCTCCCATGGACGTAGGCATTGAGGCCGAACCACGTTAAATATTGTGTCTCCTTGAGTGTAAGTGTGTTTTTCTGCATTAAATAATTTCTATAAGGTCTTGGGCGGGATCCCAGATCCCAACATTTTCCACTATCTCAAACTCCATACAAAGAAAAGTGATTGCTTGGATCATTTAGACATTGAATCTTCTCTTCGAGAGCCATCTTGGTCTGACACTAATGATTTCCAGCATTGTTGAACCTAGATGCACTTTTGTTCAGGTAAAAGTTGAACATATAGGTAAAATAAGCTTGTGAAGTGTACAGATAGGATGAGAGAAGTGAAGAATTTGAATATATAGAACCAATTTGGACAAATAAAAATATGTATAGATAAAAATTTGGGATTAAAAACTTATTAAAACAAATTTGACAGATATATGAAAATTTGAACAAATAATAAAAAAAAATTAACACATATTTCAATAGATAAGGGAAAAAATTGAACAGATAGATACAGATTTAAACAGATAGTCAAAAAATTAAATAAATAAAAAAATATTTAAACAGATAGTCAAAAAAATTAAACAGATAGTCAACAAAATTCAACAGATGTATAAGGGGTAAAATTAAAAATAAAATATCCTCCAAAAGAATAAAAACATTTCTCACCACACTAGTTTACAAAAGGTAGATCTCTTACAAACAAAAAATATTCACTGAACCTAATATCTTGTACCCTCCTTAAATTAGATTTTAAAATAATTTTCTCTATAAAATAGAAAATTAATATTTTTTAAATGGTGTAGGTCTCGCTAGGTGAATTAAAACACTTTATCTCAAACTTAATTCAAAAATTAAGGTTGCGTTTGGTTTTGTTTTGAAATTGTAATTTTCTTTTTAGAATTGTGATTTGAGTGTGGAATTATAGGTTGAGTTTTGAAAATAAAAAATTTGTTTGGTTATGAGTTTTAAAAAGAAATTTAAAAAGTGTTTTGAAAAAAGTTTTTGAATTTTGAAAAGTGTTTTAAATTTTGAAAAGAATTTTGAGTGAAAATATTTTTTTTATTTTATTTTGTAAATATTTTAATTTTTAATTTTAATATTTTAAACTCAAAACGCAACTTTACACTCAAATCGTAACCAAATACATAACTCAAAACTCAATTCAAAAATTATTTTCAAAACTTATAACTAAACATATAACTCGAAATTCCACACTACTTTCAAAACTCTACACTCAAATAATAACCAATGCATAAAAAAAAAATTAAAATATTCAAAAATATATTTATAAAATAAAATAAAATATTTAAAATAAAAATTATATATTTAAAATAAAAAATATTTTTAAATTTTTTTTTGTATTAAAAAAATACAACATATAAATGTATGAAATATAATGCACATTAAAATAAATAAATAAATATTTTAAATATAAAATATTTACCCTAAAAAAATAAAATTAAGAATTTTTAAAAATATAAATCCAAAAAATTTGAAAATACAACTTAAACCATTTTTCAAAACTCATAACCAAACAATTTTTTTCTTTTCAAAACTTAATTTAAAATATAATTTCACACTCAAATTATGATTCTAAAAATAATTTTAAAAAATAAAATAAAAAAATATTTTTTTGAATTTTTTCTTTTAAAATAGAGTTTTGACAAGAGTTTGGTTTTGAGTTTTGAAAAAAAAAATTGAATTAAGTTTTGTATTGTGTGTTTGGTTATGAGTTTCAAAATTAATTTTTTAATTGAGTTTTGAGTAATTTTGAAATGTATGTTTTGTTATAAATTTTGAAAAGTGATTTGAAAATTTTGCTTTTAGAATCATGATTCCAAAGACAAACTACACACAAACTTTAAATAAGTTGAAATATATTTTTTTAACCCTAAAAATATCGAGTTAAACTGAGGCCAAGTTTGGCTACTACAAAATAATCCATCTTTTTATCTTTTTTTCATCATATTACCTCTCTACTTTTTTGCACATCTTTTCGTAAAAAGACAAAAAATACACTTATTTAGGTCATTCAAAACAACCCCTGAGTAAATTGGGTAGGGGATCGGACCAATGACCACTCCCAATAGGAAGTAGTAAACTTTTTGGCCAAGTTAGAGTATGGGTGCAACTTGGGTGGTCTCAACTTGAGCAATTCAAGCTGAGCTCGAATTTTTTTAGGGCTTGGTCAAAAAAATTTCAAATTCGATATGGGTTTGGCCAAAAAATTCAAAAGCCTGAATTAAATTTGGGTGGATTTGGACAAAGACGTCAAACAACCCGAGCAATTCGAAACCCAAATTATACATATATAGATATATAAAAATATTAAATATACATATAAATTATTAGCCATTTTATTAAAGTAATTTATATTATTAAATCATATTGAATATATATTATATATATAAATAACATAAAATCTTATTTTTTTTGCTTTTTATTTTCACTCATAAATTGTAAGAATTACTATAGTGACATCTCTCTTATACAAATTATTTGTTTTGATGGTATTAATAATTTTATATTAAAAAAAATTATAAACAGAGTCAAATTTTAATAATTTAATAATGTAGCTACAAAAAAAAATGAACTTCATTTACAATTCGGACAATTCGGGCAACTCGAGTTTAACTAGGATCGGACTTGGGCAGATAACCTCAGGTTACAATTCGGACTTGGGTCTATCTCAATACAACTTGGGCTTGGATAACCTCCCAAATCGACCAGACCTGCCTAAGTTACACCCGAGTTAGAGAAAATAATGTTAAAAATTCTATTAAAATTTTTACTAAATGTCTTGCATAATATAAATTTTATTTAGATTTTATAGCCTCGGGAGAAGTTTACTAATTTTTTTTTTCAGTTAGAGAAAGGAATTGCACCTGTTAGATATAACGTGTCCTTTTATAATTGGTTTATTGTACACCGTCAGGAGACAAATTCGTCACATGATCATCGCCTTTGCGGTGGGGGGGCTATATAAACAAACAAACGCAAAGCGGCTCTCTCTCTCGGCTTCTCTATTTCTCACTTCGTGTTGGTTTTCTCTTGCTAATCGGCCACCGAGAGATCGGATTCAGACACTCGATTTTCTTACCCACAAATTCAAACATGAAAATCTTCGTCAAGACGCTCAAAGGCACTCACTTCGAAATCGAAGTGAACCCTCAACACACTGTAACAATCTTATCTCCCTCTCTCTTTTTATATTCGCTTTTTAGTTACTGCTACAAATTTTGAATTGAGGTTTGTATAATTAGGGCATGAGTTAGGGTTTTCGAAATTTACGTATCGCGATTCAATTTTTTATTTTATTTTTTTAATGTAGTGTTTGTTTGATGTGACTTCATGTTTCTATTGTATAGGGTGAATTTTGTTACTGGTACAGTGATAGGATTGTTTTTTTTTTTTTGATCGGCAATAGGATTGTGATGTTATATTTTATATACTTTGCTGGATATGAAGTAATCTATCGCAATATGTGTAATAGTGATAGATTACATTGTAGGTTGTTTTTAATATGCTCCGCCTGTAAAACTAATTTTTTGAGAAATTGAATTATGGGTTTGTATGGGGAAAGACAATTGGTTTTTGGTTTTTTTTTTTTTCTTTTTGATTTTTTTCACTACAAAGACAAATGTTTTACAAAATAAAAAAAAAAAAACAAATCTAAACAAAATATCACGTCAAACCCCATAATCATTTCACTTTTTCTCTTACAAACATCACATGCAACCACAAAAAAAACCCAACTATCTTCACAAATATAAAAAAAAAATTTCTCTAATAATATGCTACAACTAAAAAAGCCTACAAAAAAAACTCATTTCTCAAACATCCACTATATATGCTTAGAACTAGAAAATACTTGATTTTGACAGACTGATGGTTGATTTTTAGGTAATGGGATTTATGAAAACTGATTGGAACTGCGATTCATATGCTTTTTTCCTTTTGTTGTCAGACCAACTCATGATAACTGGAATAGTGCAATATATTTGAGAGATAGACTATAGGTAACATGCTCATCTGTAGAGTTTTAAGCCAGAGTGTGATGCCACGAATCCACGATACAGTTAGGCTAAATAAATGTGTGAGTTAACTTGCAAGCCACTAAATTCAGTAGACTATTTTAAAAAATATTTTGAACGGAGGTGCTATGTTTTGAATTGGGATTCTAGCTCTTGTTTCTCAAGAGAATTCTTTCCCCTTTGGAGTTGAAATCTGTGTTGGAAATTTTCAGATAATAATTTCAATTACTCAAATGTCAAGCTAAAAGTGCTTTCTTCTTCTTTTTTGTATTTTTATTTTTGAAATCCCCATTTTCTATGGAGTCTTAATTAATGGTGCTAGACAAATAGGGAGCACGCAGATCTAATGGTGGTCTTAACAACACATGGCCCTTCTTTTTTTTGTTTTTAGAACAGTGGGTAAATAACAACTATTGTAGTAGATCTATTTTCTGCTCTTTGATACTTCTGTTTGTGTGTTCCCTCATAAAGCAGATTTGGGTTGTTCACATCATGTTCTTATTTATTTATTTTTCCTTATCAAGTCTTACATGGCACCACCATATGCATGTTTCCTGTGTTTGGTTATCATGAAATCTTACCCTTTCTAGTATCTGAGGATGAGTTGATAGTATCACTCACCACTCTCTCTGGGTCAAGATAGTTCACTCAATTTGTGAGACGATGATGTTAATGGTCTATTCAGGTTGCCGATGTGAAGAAAAATATTGAAACAGCTCAGGGTTCAGATGTCTACCCTGCTGCACAGCAGATGCTTATCCATCAGGGTAAAGTTCTCAAGGATTCGACAACATTGGAGGAAAACAAAGTTGCTGAAAATAGTTTTGTTGTCATCATGTTATCTAAGGTGAGTAAGGTTATATGCATGGAGTTTCTCCTACTTCTATCATTTTTGCATATTATTCTAGGCATGAAAGTGAAGCAGGGCACGTAGGAAAATGGAGTTGTTGTATTGATTGCTGATATGGGTAATAAAAATGTAATTTTTAGGCAGATGTAGGCCTTAGATTCTGGGAAAGCTGTTCTTGATTGGTTGATAATATGTATTACTATCAACGAAGGCAACCTATTGCTGGTAGTCAACAACTAATTGTGTACTTTCGTGTTGCTCTTTCATTTTCTTTGTGTCTTTGGTGTTGGGGGATAGTGGTTCCTATTCATTTTATTTAACAGTCAGTAACTTAGATGTTAACTTAGCATCTATAATGTAGCAAGATTTTGATTTTAAGATGCTTATTCTGTATGCATGCTGAAACACTTGTAGAACAAGGCATCAGGTGGGGCATCAGGTGGGGCCTCAACTGCATCATCTGCACCTTCAACTCAGGTAAATGCAGTGCTGCTCAGTTGTTATAAGCATTGGTGTCGGATTCATTAAAATTATTCTTTGGAGTGTAGTAAAATAAATATTCAAAAGTGATCTTTCCTTTTTTGGAAGATTAGAATAAAAACCTTTCCCCCCTTTTTCTTTAGTTTCTTTCCTCAGTCTAACGGATTGCACCTTTTCTTTTTTCATATCCTACCCAGAAACCTCCCAACCATGACCCACCCTTGGGCCTTGAACCCTTTACCTTAGTCTACTAAAGGAGTGAGATTATAAAACCCTTGTATGGCTTCTTCGATTTATCTATAAAAAGAAATATGACCAACAATGGTTCGAATATATATGCAAGAATTTCGTTAATTAATGAATATAAATAAAGAATTACCATTTGAGTGGCCTATGTGAATATGAACCAGGAGCAAAGAATCCTCTAGCAGTAGACACAGATGCTCAATTTTCGCATTTCAAAAAGTTCACAAAAGACACGGAAAAAAAAAAAGTCAATTTCCCAATTTTTGACATTTATTTTAGAATTTCAATTAAGAAGAATTTTTTTTTTAAAAATGATGTTTTTTTAGCATTTGCCAAATAATCTCAGAATTTGTATTATGACATTTCCATACTGAAAAAAAAAAAGAGCAGCAGCTAAAAAAGTGTTCGGAATCTGTTGGACCTGGTAGTTTTAAATGAATCATAAATTGTGAATTGAATAGTGAATTGTAAGATTCATTACTAGTTCTATTCCAAAGTAGATCAACCCATAGATTCGCATCAAGCTATGTATGATTTGTGAATAGTAAGATTCTGATAACATTCACTGATTTTTTGGACTACGTTATATCATTGTTTTATTGTAAAATTTCAAGTATGGTTTAATCTTTACGTCTATTATAGAGAAACATTATATTGTCCTTATTTTGATTTTCACATTTAGTAGACTTATCTACTTCATATGTGTAATGATGCAAACACGAAGTTAAATAAAGGGGGAGAATCTAATATTGCATAATGAGTAGGTTTAGCAATTCCATATATTTTCTCGTTACATATTAATAGAATTCATTGATGTTCTCTCCTTCAGCATGTCGTTGTTGGAGTCCCTGCTATAGTGTTTATTAATGAACCGAAGGTGCTTGCCTACAAAATGGACCCAACTCAAGCCAAAGCTCCATTTGTAGGCAAATCATGGCTTTGAATATATGCCCTATTTTTCTGTCTGGCCCAGAAGAATTTCCATGTAGATTTCATTGGATTTTGAATACATTTAACTTGGAGTTGAAATTATAAATTGGTGGACTTTTGTGGAACGAGGGTTAAATCTTGAATCATTTGATCTTGTGTCCTGTTATTGATGACTTGTTACATGAAGTGCTAATGGAGCAGCTTTACTGTGTAGGCCCAGCCAGCTAGTTTTTCTGCTCCTCCAGCACAGCCATTAACAGCACCTCAAGCTCCTGCATCAACTGTGGGGATGTGAGTTATAATTTATTTTGTCCCTTCTTTTCTTGTAAAATTGTTTGAAAATAACTTGGAAATTTATTTGTTATGGTGTTCAATTGAAAACTTCTCACCATGTTGGTTCACCTTTTCCTATTTGTTCATCTGTGCAGTCCACAATCTGCCCCTGAATCCACTCCTGCCCCTGCCCCTACCTCGTGAGGAACAACTTTTGCTGTTATATTCATATTTGACTGTTTGAGGCCATTGGATATCCTGCTTTTAGTGTTTCATTAGAATTTAATCTTGAGAACATAATTTGTGTTGAAATTGAATGTATAAAGAGAAATAGAGAATTGTATTATTGATGTAATATTGATTGATGTATTGATTTCTATTACAATGATTCACGATTCCTATATATAGAAGAGGGTGAGTGTGTAGTAGGTAAGGAGTAGGTGAAGTGGAGGTGGTAGTGGTGTAGTGGGTTAGGTTTAGTGGAGTAGGTGAGGTGGTAGTGGTGTAGTGGGTTAGGTTTAGTGGAGTAGGTTTAAGTGGGTGAAGTAGGTGGAGAGTAGGTGGATTTTAACAGCCCCCGCAAACTCAAGGGGGATAGGAACTAACCAACTTGAGTTTGGAGAGAGTAACAAAACAAGAAAATACATAAAAATAAAAGAGGATAAGAGACACTGTATGGTCGTGTCAGACCATTGGTGAAGACACTGGATGGTGGTGTCATAACGTTGTAGAGGACACTGGATGGCAGTGTCAGACCGATGTAGAAGACAGTTTATGGGGTCATGTCGGACCATTGTAGAAGACAGTTTATGGGGTCATGTCGGACCGTTGCAGAGGACAGTTTATGGGGTCATGTCAGACCGTTGTAGCAGACAATGTTGTGACAGTTTACGGAGTCTTGCTGGACCCTTGTAGAAACTAACCGGAATCAATGTCGGGACAGTTCACTAACATGTTCCTATCCAACCTCTCCTTCCTTTTTCTTTTAATTTTTTGTTATTTATATATTTATTTTTAAATGGATGTACCAATAGATTACTGCACACATAATGTCGAAAAGCATTCTCTATCCACATATATCTGTCAAAATCAACACTACACTTGCGTCGGGGTCAAAACTAAAATTTCAGTATACTTTGGACATGAAGAAATAATTGTAATCTCAATAATCTAACTTTTGAGAGCAAACATATGGCATCTCAAAACATTATAAAAAAATTTCATAATTAGAAAAAAGGCAAAAAACAACCAATTAAGAAAAGGCTTTTCAAGTATGTTTTTTTTCTTTTTTTTTTTTTTTATAATCTTCATGAATTTGTTGATTTGAATTATGAATAAGTATTCTATATGCCTAATTTTTGTATGAAGCTCCGTGAAGAACATGATTTGGGCCCAAGGCCGTTTGATAGGTCTGATAAGAGTATGAATTAAGCTGAGGCCATTTGATACATTTGATATGTCTGGATTGGGCCTAAGGCCGTTTGTCGTAATGGGCCAGAGGCCGTTTGAATATGAATAGAATGGGCCAAAGGCCGTTTGAATAAAAAGTGATCATGATCATGAATACGAAAATGCACATAAATGTGAGTATGGGAAATAATGGGCCCTAGGCCGTTTGATATAAATTGGGCCCGAGGCTGTTTGATATGAATTTGGGCCCGAGGCCGTCTAATGAACTTGACAAAGCTATGTAATGGGCTTGAGGTCGTCTGATATGTTTGATAAGGATCTAAAATGGGGAAGAATCTTCGAGTAGTTAGGAAAGCAATTAGAGTTTGTTATAACAAACTCTAACCATTTCATTTAAATAAGTGTAAACACAATTTAATTTCCACATTGAGAATATAGTCATGGTTTAGTACAATCGATGCATGACGCAGATAAATATGAAATTTGTTAAGTTGGTAATGGCTAGATGAGGTCAATCTCGAATCATTAACACAAGAAAAAAGAAGGTAGTAGAAGTTGTACAACTTACTAGGATTCACAGAAATGGCTGAAATAAGAGGACCGTATACTCCTTTGAAAGGGATCGAGGTTGTCCCTCTTCCTGCCCAATAGAATCGTATATCTAATGTGCTTTTAGTCACATTTGCTGTAAATTTTTTTATGGTTTCCGTATCAACCCCACCTGCTTCATGTTCAATATTAAAATCCTTCAGCACCCGCTTTCCCTGCAGCAACTTAATCCAATCACAAAAGAACACCATATGCTGAAGGTAACTGTTTAAATTTACTTTGGCAGGGCTCTGCTATGTTAATCTTGCTCGCAAAAAAAAATCATTTCTTAGTGCTCAATGATTCGTGATTCCTATATATAGAAGAGGGTGAGTGTGTAGTAGGTAAGGAGTAGGTGAAGTGGAGGTGGTAATGGTGTAGTGGGTTAGGTTTAGTGGAGTAGGTGAGGTGGTAGTGGTGTAGTGGGTTAGGTTTAGTGGAGTAGGTTTAAGTGGGTGAAGTAGGTGGAGAGTATGTGGATTTAGTGGGTTAGGTTTAGTGGAGTAGGTTTAAGTGGGTGAAGTAGGTGGAGAGTATGTGGATTTAGTGGGTTAGGTTTAGTGGAGTAGGTTTAAGTGGGTGAAGTAGGTGGAGAGTATGTGGATTTAGTGGGTTAGGTTTAGTGGAGTAGGTTTAAGTGGGTGAAGTAGGTGGAGAGTAGGTGGATTTTAACAATTTGTTTGTTTTTTATTTGATCTCTCTCTCTCTCTCAAAACCTTTTTTCCTGAAGCAGATCAGAATCAGATGTTTATAGTGAAGCAACATCAAATCTTGTTGCTGGAAGTAACTTAGAGGGTATCATTCAACAAATTCTTGACATGGGCGGTGGGAGTTGGGACCGGGACATGGTTGTCCGTGCTCTGCGTGCTGCATTTAATAATCCAGAGAGAGCTGTTGAATACCTGTATTCAGTGAGTCCACTCTTGCTTCTTGGTACATGTATCTTTTGGTGTTTCACACTGTTAAAAATCAATGTATAAAGAGAAAAATACAGAGAGAATAAATGTATCTGATGATGATCTTATTATTGATTGATTTGTGTTATACACTGTCTATTACAAATGGTTCCTTATATAGATGTAGGTGTAGTGGATGGTGGTAGTGGTGTAGTGGGTTAGGTTTAGTGGAGTAGGTGAGGTGGTAGTGGTGTAGTGGGTTAGGTTTAGTGGAGTAGGTGAGGTGGTAGTGGTGGTAGGTGATGGTAAATTCTAACACACACTAATTTGATCTAGCTTGGGTCAGATGGAAATTGCTTTCCTTAAAAAATTTCAATAGATTATTTAGCACAATTGGCTAGCTGAAGTCATTACAGGACTAATAAGGAACACAGTTTGTGTTCATTGTTTCCGAAACCCTTAAACTTTTGGAGGGATAAGCTATGGTTTAATCTCTGAACTCTTTGAGAATTTTGTTTTAACAGCTTACACCCATCCCACTTTACATTCCAAAATTCCTGATGTGATTTTGGTTTTGTATGTAGCTTGCTTTGTGAGTTCCTTTTTTTTGCCTCTTTTGATTTGGTTCTGTCCTCACAAAGTGAACCACTGAGTTGGAACCACTTTGGTTTTGTGGAATATTTTCATCTCCTGTGGCTCATTTTAATCCCTTGATCATTATATAGTTTTTATTATGCTTTGGTCTTAGTTACATCATCTGTCTAACTGGGGCAAAAAAAATCAGGGCATTCCTCAGCAAGCTGAAGTTCCACCTGTGGTTCAAGCTCCTGCAAATGGGCAGGCTGTGAACCCTCCAGCCCAGGCTCCACAGCCAGCAGTGCCTTCCAGTGGACCCAATGCAAATCCTCTTGACCTTTTCCCACAGGTAGGTCATCTTTAACCTGTGATGTTTTTGTTTTATGTAGAACCCAGTTATGGACTCTCTTTTTAAAATCAGGGCCTTCCAAATGTGGGCTCAAATGCAAGTGCTGGCACTTTGGATTTTCTGCGTAACAGTCAACAGGTAGATAGACAGAATGCTTTTTCCAATTCTATGAGATTATTTATTGAAAAGGACCTCAGAGTTCTAATTGTGGATTTTGTGTCTTAGTTCCAAGCTTTGCGAGCAATGGTGCAAGCCAACCCTCAAATCTTGCAGGTACTATTATCTTTCTTATCTTATCTGTATTTTTGTTGTCAGTTTTTTTTTTTCATTTAACTTCTTCATTCTCTGAGGATTTCTGACATTTTCTTTTAATTGCAGCCTATGCTTCAGGAGCTGGGAAAGCAAAATCCTCAACTGATGCGGCTCATTCAGGAGCATCAGGCGGACTTTCTACACTTGATCAATCAACCTGTTGAAGGGGGTGAAGGGTGAGATGACATCTTTTCTGGTGTTGCTTACATTTTGTACATATTTGAAGTTGGATTCATGTAATGCAGACTTATCTGTGTTTAATTTTTTGGGCTGATGGTTGATGCTGGTTTTCTTATATATGTGGAATCAGCAATGTACTGGAGCAACTGGCTGGAGCAATGCCACAGGCTGTGACTGTCACACCAGAAGAGCACGAGGCAATTGAACGTGTAAGATGATTCACTGTCATTTCTAAACTGATATAATTATCATCATGCTTAGGTTTCTGTTCTGTTTATTGTCAATTACAGCAAAATTGACGGGATGACTACTATTGCTGTTGTTAAGATAGTCCCTATCATAGTTGTCAATCGGGATTCGTATTGTGAATCGAAATGACCTCGTACTAAATCGCAAATTGAATTGTGAATTGTAAAAATTCGGTCACTTTTTTTTAAATTACTTAAAAACATATATCTGCACATTTAGATGTTAAGTATATCTTATAAATATGAAATAATTAGACTTAAATCAATGAAAATGTTATTTTGAATGATAATTACCTAGTTTAATAGGTAGGAAGTTAACAAAGGTTCCTATATAAGATCATTATCTTACCTTTTTTTTTTTATAGATACAATGATATTGATAAACATACATACTTTTCTAAGTAACAATGAGCAAATAATAAAAAATAATTATTTAGAATCTTTTATTTTAAACCCTAAAATATTTTAAAAGGTATAACTGACCCTACACATGTAATATTCAACTGTATTCAATTTAATAAAATAGCAATGGATTATCCATAGGGTAACTTTAATCGTAAACACCTTTAGAAAATATATTATGTTTTTTAGGGGAAAAAATGAGAAGAAAGTTCAAAAATATATTGGGTCTAACTGAATCTGATTGAATCTTATTAAAAACTTCATGATTACTAAAATAACAATAAATTATGTATATATGTTGGTTATCTTGGTATTAAACGCTATTAGAAGTTATATTATCTCATTTTCACTAAAAAGATGGAGAAAAAAAAGTCAAAAATATGTTGGACACAATAATTTCAAAAATTGCATGAATTGTAAAAAGTGAATCGAATTGTGAATCGATTATAAATCGTGCGATTCACTAGAGGTTCACTTCTAAAATAGATTCACCCATAGATTCGTATTGATTTTGCAAAAATTGCAAATTGAATCGCGAATCGTAAGATTTTGATAACAGAGGTCCTATATGAGGTTTTAAACCTTGATGTCTGCCTGGGCATAATGCTTGTGGCAAACATTTCGGAGTTGAAGACTTGGGATCAAGAAGTTCCATGATGGGGTAGTACTGATGGCACATGTTTCGTGCTTTGGAAACCACTATTCAATGTTTAGAGTTGACTTTATGCATAAACTTGTCGCTTTAAGTAATTTAAAAAACTTCTCAAGCTTTTCTTATTATATATGAATAGTCATGAGGTAGAATTGGCAAGTTTAGTCCCTATTTGATATTGTTTTCCTTTTTCTGTTTTCGGAATAAAAAACAATGAAAAGTTCGAAAACATCATTTTCATTTTTCCGCCCAAAAATAGTTTTGTGAATTGCATTCAGAAAATTTAAGAAAATATGGAGTCCTGGGGTCCTTGGAGATGATAATTAGATGAATCTAATACTCACACCTTACTCAATTCCATGTAATTATGCTATATATTGGCATTGTTACATTATTGAACTCTTTTCAATTGGAATGTAAAACTTGTTAGGATTGTGCTATTCAATTGAACTTGCATTGTGGAATTTTTCTATTGGCCAGTGACTATCTCAATGCATAGAGAGAAGACCTAGAGAGAAGCTCTTGAAGCAATCTCTTTTTTACAAGATACCACAACTACCGGTTATAAACCTAGGCACTTCCACTAACTACCACTCACATGCTTGGCACATGCCACTTACATCATACCTCATGCATTAAAGAACTTGTCCTCAAGTGGGGGGGGGGGGGGGGGGGAAGAAGAAAAGAAACAACTACCAGAAATAAACAATTGAAGCAAAAATACATGAACTAGTCTACTACATCAAGAACAAGATGTTGAACATTAAAGGTATTGAAAATGTTCATGTGAGGAGGCAAGCCCTTTGATTTAATTTTTTAAGTGCGTAGTATGATGATATATGGTATTAATTCTTGTTGATAATGGGATTTGGCAGCTTGAAGCGATGGGTTTTGATCGAGCTATAGTATTGGAAGTTTTTTTCGCATGCAACAAGAATGAAGAGCTTGCAGCAAACTATCTTTTAGATCACATGCATGAGTTTGAGGATTGAAGTACAAAGTGGTTCTTTCCTTGTTCTTTCGTACTTTCTCTTCATTTTCTGTTCTTTTAAAGTGTCTTGACTTTTTCTTAGCTATATAAATGTTGGTTAAGTTTTTTTTCTTTATTATTCAGTTTATTGCCCCAGTAGTTGTAATTCAAATTATAGAGGAGATTGTTGGGCAATCTTGTTTTCTTAATAGTATTTTCGGTTTTTATGTTTATTGGTAATTCATGATGCTATACTTTTTTTCTTTGTCCTTTTCCTTGCTTTCTTGCTGAAGCTCCAAATACAGGATTGTCTCGTGACAACACGGATGTCTGTGGCATCGGATGCAAAAATTTGGCTTTGCAATTGTATCCCACATTTGACTATCCTTAACTCTTGAGAAGATCAATGGTGGTGGCTTAAAATGTGTGTTTTCTAAGAGCTACTTGATGGAAAAAAATTTTGGGGAAGTAAAAATTTGCCCTATCGAATGACAGGTGGAACCTTAAAGCTTTGTGGGTTTCACATATTATTGTCTTATAGGAGATATCTTTCTCTGGGGTTTGCTATTTTGGTGTTGAAGTTGAGAAAGTTGGAGAGGGTTTCAACAGAGAAAATGGTTTGTCTAAGGTGGAAAATATTTTTTGAACTTTGGTACTTCACTAACGTTGTGTTTGGTTGAGAGATTTGGGAAGAGATTTGAAAATAGAAATGGAAAAGATATGTGAAATTAGGTAAAATATAAGTATATTTTATTCATTTTATCTACTCTTTTTTTTTTTTCAAATCTCTTTTCAAATTTTTTAACAAAACACAGCGTAAGAGATTGGAGAGTTTTAAATGCTAAAAGATTTTTGCCTAGGAGATCGAAACAAGATTGGCGGCTTTGAAATGACAAAAACAAGATTGCTGATGGGATGATCTAGGTAAATGGAGGGATTGTTTAGAGAATAAATTGGCTCATCGTTGTTGAGAAACTATTACATGTTACTCTGGTGTGCATAAATAGTCTAATGTCATGAATCCTGTCTAGGTCTGATGCAATAACATGGCTACCAAATCAGGAGTTCGGATTCTCGGCCGCCCTTCTCGGCGGCCGTTCCAGCAGCCCCCCAAAACGACGTCGTTTTGGGGGTTTTTTGATTTTTTTTTTTTCTTTCTTCTTCCTCGTTCGAACAGAACCGGAGGGGAGGGGAGGGGAAGAAGAGAGAGAGGGAGAGGGGAGGGGAAGAAGAGAGAGGAAGGGAGAAGAAGAGGGAGCACCGGACTGGAGGGGGCCTAAATCACCGGGGGAGGAGGAGGAGGAGGCGGAGGCGGGCCGGACGCGGAGGCGACGGCAGATCGGGCGACGATCGGACGGCTGGCGAGCTCGACGACCTGCGACGGCGAATCCGGACCCCAAAATCCGGCGAGCTCCCCTCCCCTCCGGCGAGCTCCCCTCCCCTCGCCTCTGCTGCTCTGGTTCTACGAAAAAAAAAAAAAAAACAAAAAAACCCCCCAAAACGACGCCGTATATCTAACCCCAACACATGAAAAATCCCCCAAAACGACGTCGTTTTGGGGGGCTGCTGGGAACGGCCGCCGAGAAGGGCGGCTGAGGATCCGGATTCGCCAAACCAGTGGTGGTCAAAACTATTTAGTAGTTTTGGCTTTTTTCATGCTCTGTTTGAATGGACAGCATGTTGATTGAATGGGCAACCAGTTGGTAAAAAAATCCGTGTTATTGTTTCCGTCAAACAATACAAATATTTATATTTTTACAGATGTCTTGCATCTCATTATCGAAGAATCCCAATACGTGTAATATGTTCTCTGAATAATTTGAACCAATGAAATAGTGGCGAATTCTCTTCAAAACCCATAAAATTTGCCGTGGGATTATAGTGTGAGACTTATCAGTTGGGTGCAACAATAACTAATAGGTGCACAAGAAGTAGGTTAAACATTTATAAAAAATTAATATATATTAAAAGTAAGTTGCAATTAAAATTTTAAAACTAACTAATGAGATCATTTGACTCAATTAGTACTACCTGGCGCCGAAAGTAGGGATAATAATTTGCCCAGCTTCAGTCCTAATCCTGTATCCCTCGTGCCATCCCATGGCCAACAAAAAAATGGAAATGGGGCAGAATTTACTTCCCTCCCCCAACCCAAATTTAGGAGCTCAACCCAATGTTAAATTGCAACGTGATAAGAAAATTAATCAATTGCAAACAAATTAATCAATATTCTCAAAGTCCTATGTGTTGCACGCCACCCAATCGTATTTTATTACTAAGGTTGTTTTCCAAGGCCTTTTGATATGGTCGTTTACGTATTTGCCTCAGCCTCTTTACTATAAACTTTCTTGTACTTTCGGGTCATCAGGGAGACAACAACAATATGTTGACTATATCACCTTACGTCTATGAATAATGTCAGATTGTTTCAATGGCCTGAAAAAGAAAGGTCAAGTTTCTAGAAAGGACAAAGCCGCCATAATTGATCAACTCTTGTGAAACAATTCAAACATGAAACGTAGGTTGAAGTTATGTCTACAAGCACCATAAGGGCTCACATTTCTTTCAAATTTGTAGTGAGGGATGAGTTATAAACTCCGAACTTATTGACTTTTGAGTTCAACTTTTATTAGTTTCTCTTGTATTTAACCGATACCTATGATTTGTAGTTAATTACAAATATTTGAATATCCGAAATTTACTTTGTAGGATTGAGTGCCCTAGGGAATATTCCACCCCTGATGAAAAATCATCAAAGACCAACTGTCATAAGGTCACGTTTCACATAAAAGCTTCCATCGATCACCTTGCTTCTGGTGGTGGTGACAGCCTCTTGGGAGTTTCCTCAGGAGCTTTCTTGTGCTGTTTCAGATCACCAAATAGGAAACAGCAAACATGGGCAGGAAACTGGATGCTCTGCTCGGAAGAAACTCAAAGACAAGTAAATTGAAGGGCCTGGCTAACCTGGCTATCGCTCGAATTAACATACTTAAGAACCAGCGCCACGCCCGGTGCACCCACGCTCGGTCTGATGTTGTCCAGCTACTCAACCTTGGTCACCAAGACCGTGCTCTCCTTCGTGTAATTTCATACTCCCAAACCTGTGTGTGTGTGTGTGTATAAATTTTGACTCAATCTTCATAATAGGTTGAGCAAGTGATCAAGGAGCAGAACATGTTGGACGTGTTTGGTATGATAGAAAACTACTGCCATCTCTTGACACAGAGGATCACGCTTGTTCAAAACAACAGGTTAGAGATTTGTGTGTGTAATTCAAGCTCTCATTTTCTAACCAATACCTACTTGCATCTAGTTTCGATTGTATAAAGTGTGAATGTGTTTATACCAGGGAATGCCCAGACGAGCTCAGCGAGGCCATATTGAGCTTGATCTTTGCCGCTTCAAGATGCGGAGAATTCCCAGAGCTCCAAGAGATTAGAGGAATCTTCACCTCAAGATACGGGAAAGAATTTGTCGCTCGTGCTCTCGAATTAAGAAACAACTGCAGAGTTAATCCTAAGGTAAGGGTTGAATGTTCATGGATCACAATTGCAGAAAGATGTTCTTCTCACAATAATTATGTTGTTTTACTCTAGATGATCCAGAAGCTTTCAACGACACAAGCAAGCTTGGAAAGCAGACAACAATTGCTGAAACAAATTGCTTCTGACAACGGAATCAGTCTACAGCTTGTGGACGATGTTTATGTGACTGCTGGGGTAAGGAAACTATAAACGCTGATGACAGTTGTTGAGACAACAACAAACAATAATAATGATGTGTTAATCAGAATATTGAATATCTAACCCCAGAAAGCCACCATCTTTTGATGATTGCAGGAGAAACAAGAAATCAATCAACAAGAAAAGCAGCTTCAACCTAATAAAGTGTCTAACTTGAATGATCCTGAGTTTGGTGTTCACGATCGTGATTCTTCTGAAGTGATGACACAGAATGAGAAATTCTCTGAATCAACGAAAGTTAGGAAGAAGTATAGAGATGTGGCTGAAGCAGCCCAGGAGGCTTTTGAATCTGCCGCTTATGCGGCGGCAGCTGCAAGAGCTGCAGTTGAACTATCTAGATCTGAATCATGGGATGAAGACCCTGATGACCATAATGATTCCAATCATGTTCGTTCGAATCGTACGATTCACGATTCGATACGATTTGCAACAAAAACAATTTGAATCGTGTTGTTGAATCAAAAATTGAGTGAAACGTGAGATTCAATTTGCGATTCACTACGGTTCAATTCTATTTTTGTTTTTGCTTACATAATGCATGAAACGACGTCATTTTCACTAAACTAGCAAGATATATAAAAGAGATCAATTGGTTGTATTGATACACATGATGTTATTATATGTATATATATATACATATTAAATTTAATTATTTTGATATTTACATCATTTTAAGCACACCAAATAAATTTTATATGTTTATAGATATATAAAATTATATATTATATCAAATAAAATGAATTTTATAATTCATGATTTACTATTACATTCGATTCGTAATTTGACAATAATGGTTCCAATCATAAACAAGAATTTGCATTCATTTCTGGTCGGTCATCCAAATCTGAACATAGGGATGCAGCTTCGGAGGATGTCAAACATTCGGAACAAGGGTTGGGTTTTGACGAAACCCATCCAATTGATAGCTTCTGCTCTGAGTCAGAAGGTGAGGACACGGCAGTCGACTTATGCCGTGTTTGGTGGGAGATTTGAGAAGGGATTTGAAAATGAAAATGAAAAAAATAAGTAAAATGTGAATAAAATATACACTATGTTTGGAATGATTTCCAAACTATGATTCTACTTGCACATTCCAATATGATGTTTGGATAGTATTCTCAAATCACATTTCTACAACATTTAGAAAACTACAGAAAACTGTGAGGCGCTATTTTCAATATTTTTTTTTTCAAATTGGGCCTAACTAGTCGTCCCATCGGATTTTTTTTTGCAATTGATATATGTTAATTTTTATATATTCGAAAAAAATATTTTCCGAATTTTTAAATTTTTTTATATGTTTTAATAGAATTTTGAGTTATGTGTTTGATTATGAGTTGTAAGTTTTTGTATCAAATATCATATGTTACATCAAAAATTTTCCATTCAATTCAAAACTCTTTCACCAAACAAATTTTTTACACTCAAATCATAATTCCAAAACTCGCAAATTCAAAATATAACTCCTACTCTCAAATCATAGTTAGAAAGCTCTACCAAACACAACCATATATTTTACCTAATTTCACACCTTTTTTCTTTTTTCTTTCTAAATTCTTTACAAATCTCTCAATCAAACACAGCATTAAGAAAATGAAAAGAAGCAAAAAAAAAAAAAAAAAACCCAGGACTAGAGAGGACATTGTCTAGCTCAAGTTCAGACACAGACGCTGACAATCAGTATGATGGGAAAGTGAATTCAAATCTAGCTAAGGGGTATAAACTTCATTGCCAATCTCCAAAATGGAAACCACAAAACCCTCAAGCTAATCTGACATATTCTGCAGAAAGAAGATCAAAGTTTAGGAAATACACATCGCTTGAATGCTGAAAAGCATTTACATTCACGGCACTGAGGTAAGTACACAGGCACTAATACATATGTCACAGAAGTGAAGAGCATTTTTTTTTTCGGATTCGTGATTTTTCAATTATGATACTGTGTGGGTGATTTTCTGACCACACTGCCCGTTTAGTGATCAGCTGGAGAGCACTGACAGAATAGATGGCTTTAGCAACCTGTAACAGAAAGAAAAAGCTCCGGCGGTGGTTCTTCCACCCGGGGACACTCCGACGATCAAGTCAGTATATCTCTCAAAGATAATCAAGTGCTAAACTGAATACTCAAAACATAAATTACATACCTTAGACCCACGGGGGTGCCTCTCTTTTATAATATACTCAATCCAAGTCCCACTAGAAGTATGACTTCTATGAACTCCAATTTACTGCTTACTCTGGACTCTATAAGAGATAAAGATAAAACTCCTTAAGAGCTTTATCCTTATCTTGGTTAAGTCCCCTCTTTGCCTTAGGACTCTTGTCCCTTATCTCGGATTCCGATATCTTCGGAGATAACCTCGGCTTCTCCGAGATTATCTCGGCTTAACTACCAGGACACGTGGCACTTCGGCTGACACGTCGGCGTCACCATGCCACGTGTTGGTATAAAGAAAATACATCCCCACAACTGCCCCCTAGGTTCTATTACCTTGGCATTCTGAGGTGATGGAACCTATTCCGATATTTTGTCACCCTTTTTTCTAAGTAATGGCTCAAAAACTGATTAGCCAAGATTATCCACTCTCAGCCGATGTGTTCTCTTCGAAGAACAAGGCTTCGATCGTACTCTCCCATGCGCATGAGCTGTCATGCATATCTAACCGTTCCTTTCACGTGTTTTGTCTTCATTGGAGCGTGTCGGTGACGCGCCTGAAAACTGTCCGTTCATTCGTCTGCGCCGTCTGACGCGTACGTTGCTCTAGGCATAATAATTGCCCTATTTTTGCCGCCGTTTCACGTTTTTGACAAAACTTTTCCTTTGCCTCTATGTTTCCTTCACTTTTTCATTCTGTCTTCTTGCTCTTTCTCTCTCTGAAAGCTCTTTCTTCTTCGAATCTGCCATCGCTTCAATCTCTCTTCTGGAACTGCTCTTAATCCCTCATTCTTGCGAAGCCTTCTTTATTGTTGCAACCAATTTCTGAGCTCGGCGAACATTGCCCCGGCTTCACTTGTTCCGGTAAGATTCATTCCCTTCAATGTTAATTTCTCTTTCTGCGCTTTTGTCTGCCTGTTGCCATTACTGATCTTGTTCGAAGCCTTGGATTTATTTGTATCTTGAATTTGTGGCTATACCTTGAACTTCTATACTTTTTCACCATTCTCTTTGCCACTGTTCTTGATTTTTTTTTTCCTGTATCTCTATTGTTTCTGAGAGCTATACCTCTGTTCTTGAATCTGAAACTCCGTCTTTGTTTTCTCTTTTTTGCATCTGCCCCAGATCTGTGCCTTCAATCTTGGTCTTTGTAGTTCTTAGGTTTGGGATTTGTGCGTAGAACCTTCAAATTTAGGGAAAACTGAAATAAGCCTTATCAGCCATTTCTTAGATCTTTACCGAGGTTCTTGTAACCCTTCCTAAAAACGCCCATCTTCCGAAACATATTTTAAATTGACATAATGGGTATGTGGAGGCATAGGGTAAATACCCCAACAAAACTTGAATACTTTAGGCAGGAATTCTCTATCCCAGCCGATGTTCATCTTAAACTAGCTGGGGACAGTGACACCATCATGCCCACAGACCATACGATGCCCTTTCCTATAGTAGCTTTCACCGAATGTGGACTTCGGCTTCCACTTGATCCCCTGTTTCGCGAAGTTCTTTACTTCTATAGGCTGAACCCCATGCAACTTACTATCAACTCTTATAGGGTGATTAATGGTATTATAGCTTTAGCTAGGCAAGAGAACCTTAGAATTACCCTGGCCGACCTTCAATACTGCTATACCATGTGCCCTCTTGACCTGAAGGATAGGGGTTTCGTTTATTACCTTAAACCGAGATCTACTCAGTACAAAATCGTAGCCGACCTCCCAGACTCCAACAAGGGGGCTGGAGATGATTTTCTCATTGCTTCTGGAAATTGGGAATTTGGCCCAGATGAAGATGTCCACCTCTACCCTCTTCCTCGAACAATTACAGAGGGCAAGAGTAAGAGCCCTGAGTCACACCTTAGTTGTTTTTATTTAAGTCTTTAATATATTTTTATTATTTTTTTTTTCTGACGTCTGTTTCTTTGTCCTGTAGATCTTCGTCAGCCACCGAAAAATTTTCGTCAATCCTTCTTCCCAGGAACAGATCTAAAAACACTTCTTTAAAAAACCTTCCAATCCATAAAACGAAAAGCCCCACTGTTACTAAACTTCATCCCTACATATAAATCCACTTTACCCGACGTCCCAAGAAAAAGGAAGAAGAGTCTTTCTCCCCCCCCAGCCACAACCTTAACTGCTTCTACATCCCGAACAGATCAAGAGTCCACATCTGACCCAGCCGATCTTCCATCAACTTCGGCCCCCTACTTAATACCAATTCCTGAACGTAAACGTCGACGAAGGCTTGTAAAGACTGCTGAGATGGTTCGTCCAAGGCCTGTCGTTCAAGACCTTCTCGCCGATCTTCCAACTAACGCCGAAGCCGTACCAACGCAATCAATGCTCCCACCAAACCAAAGAGAGTTAAAAAGGCTCAGCCTAAAGCCAAGGCTACAGATACCGAAGTTGAGGATGTTGTGCCTATTTCAAAGCTGGCAGAAAGCAAAAAATCAACCTCTGTTTCCACCAAGAGGTCAGCTGAGGGTCAACCCTCAGGGTCTACTCAATCAAAGAGGCCAAGGTCATCGTCTGCGACGACCTCGGCTTCAAAGAAGCCCGACGTCCCCTGGGCCCCTGATCTATCCCTGGAGGATAGGCCTATTATGGCTAGTGAAAGTGCTAACGACATTAACGTTGGTGTCGCCCTCAACACTGCTCTTCTCCTTCCGAATGACTTGGAACGAAATGCTAAGCTTAGTGAGTATGAGAATTACGCTCTCATGCTCCAACACTCCGTTCAAGTAAGTATTTCTGTTTGTACTTGTGATTTTTTCTTCCGTTCTTTACTGAGAGTACTGTCTCACATTTCTGTTTTTTCTGCAGGCCATTCAGCATGCCCATTCATTTTCAATGCAATCTTTTGAAAATCGTCAAAGGTTAGTTGATATGAAAAGGGAAGCATCTTCCATGAAGAGAGAGATAAAGTCCCTTGAAGCAAAAATGAAAAAACTGGAGGATCAAGCCGAGGCTGCAACTAAAGTTCAAACTTTAGCTCTTGAGAAGGCCAAAGTTGCTGAGGCCGTTAGAAAAGTTGCTGAGGCCGAGAAAAGAGAGGCCGAGGCTCAGAAGGCCCAAGCGGAGAAAGAACTCCAGCAAGCTCTGGCCACGAAAGAGGCCGAAGTCAAAGAGGCCGATGAAAAGGCCTACGCCCAAGGTATGGCCGACGTCGCAGAAGATTATAAGCTTCAAGTCAGGCAGGCATGCAACAGGGGATTTTCCCTAGGTTGGATGTCCCTGATAAAGAAGCTTGATCTCCCTGTTGACTCGCCCATTCGGAATGCTGATGCCATCCCTTTGCCATTTCCCCCACCTCCACTTGAAGGTGAATTAGAATCTGATGCTGACGCCGAGGATGAAGATAAGACCAATGAAGAAGCCTTGGTGAGAAAACCCAAGGATGCTGTCGTAGTCAAGTCCCCTCCTCCTACTGAGCAGGTTATGGA